AATTTCTCTAAAATGTGTCTCAACATGTCGTTGCCATGATGGGCTTGAGTACTAAGAGTTTAGTAGGTTAACCTTAAAAAAAACCGCGATAAAATGTCAAGAAAATTTATTTAACTACATCTCACAACACTATAATATAAGAGTATAAGAGAAAAAATAAAGTAAAATACAAGTTTAAAGTGCTTTTGACCGGTGCATCTTGGAATAAAGAACTTGAATTATATATATAGCATTGGACTCCCTCTTCCTTCACAAATTTAAGCGATGAGGGACTTCAAAGAACTTGTATCCTATATATAGTCTTAGACTTTCTCTTCATTCACAAAACTAAGCGATGTGAGACTTCTTCAACATGTATATTTTCAACCAACCCCAACAACTCCACCTTGATTGAAAATAACACATAAGCTTCCATTGTCTTCACCAACATTTATACTCCATCATAAAGAGTATCAACATGTATATTTTTAATCAACTCAACAAAAACGTCAAAGACACGTGGAAGCGGACTAAAAAGTTGAAGTCCACGTAAGAGAGTATGTATTAAATTCCGCAGAGATAAGTGTTGTAGACAGTTAATATTGTAATAGTATATAAGACAAGTTCATTCATATAAATAGGGTATTCACAAAAAATAATTAAGCATTCTATATAGAACTTAAGTATCCAAGTCACAGAGATTTTTTTTTTAGAAGATGTATGAATATGCGTCCTTTTCTCTTAATCTTTAAATTCAAAGTATTTATTTGAATGATCTTTTTTGTTCCTTGTTTATTTTTACTTTGAAAACAATTATGCATTATTTTAGTTAGAGTTTATATTCAAACATTCATATTCATAGCACAAACATATTTTCTTAAATATTTTGCACAATATGTCTTAGGATATTTTTTGAATTTAATCATGCGAGTGAACAAAAATTTGTGATTTAATTTTTAAAAAACAATGGTAAACAATACATTTTAATTTTTTTAAATAATATTATATTTTAAAAATTAAAACACATAATAAAAAACATTGCACTGTCGTATAATAGAGGGTTCTTGTCCGCGACGAACTAAATGAGGGTTTTTTATTTACTGATACTTAGAAATCGTCCCTTTTTACCAGTTAAGGGATCATGTATTTATAACTTTGATTTCTTTGGCGAGACCTATTTCTGGATCTCTTACATTTATCAAAAAAAATGGAATAAGTCAATCCTTAATTCTAGGGAGAGAGAATAATTGAGAAATCGTACTAATTTCTCTAAAATATATCTCAACATGTCACTATTATGATGGGCTTGAGCTCACCTGTGTTCTTTTGTGTACGTAAGTTTTATCCCATACCCTTGCATTTATCCTCATAACCCCCTGCAAATTAAAAAATTGAACCAAAATACCCATGTATAAATACCTATAATTTCCATCCTCCACGACGAACCATTGACCAACAATCCTCACCATATCCATGCAATGATGCAATGAATATAAACCCACAACTTTCATTACTTTTAACATCAACAATATCATCAATAAATGGTCTGATATGATATGGAAATTGTACAATGTACCTATGAGATGATTTCTTCTTTGAGGTTTGGGAAAACTGTGAACATGGCCTCTTTGAAGATTTTTGAGAACTTTTGTGTGCTTAATCAACATACTCATGATATGAAGGATCACGATAAACATCATATCCCACAGGTTTATTCCCTTTTGTCTCCACTCCTACTTTGGTTTTTATTTTTTCAGGCGGTGGACATATTTTTATTGTAGTGGGGTAAGAAATTTCACACACCCTACTTTTTAGTGCTCTCTTCTTGCAACATATAATGACTTGAACCTTTTCCATAGTGCATCAATTGCATTGGTCATGTCCACCTCTACTTCATCCTCTTCTCTGCCTCTTGTTCACCTTCCATGCTAAGTTTCCTCAAATGGATATGAATGGCATCAATTGTATTAGTTCACCACTCAATGTGTATCTCCCTAACTCGTAAGCACAAGGTAACTCGTATGCTTTTCTATGAGTACACCCGCATATTTGGGTGTTTCTACCCACTATGTCAACCCTCAGCCATTCTTTAGCAACGTGTCTCAAAGCAGCCCTAGATACTGATCCACGTAAATTCTCATAAAATGGACTATTGTGCGCATGCTCAACTTCATAAAAAATCTTCTGAAATGGAGCTCTAATATTGCCTAGTTACACCTTAACGTTGTCATTCATAGCCTTCTAATATTTGCACATATCACCTAAATTGTTCTCCAACATCTGTTTTAGTTTCCGATGCGCAGACTCAACCCTAAAAAAAATCAGTATCATTAATATTAAAATAAACAAATTATGGCTAAGATCAAACACCTTACCTATTAGTCGTGGTGTTTCCCAAATGCAACACTTTATTGATCCAAGCTTCAACAAATCTAGGTTTGTCAGGCATCAACCATGTGTCTTTCACATAATAAAAGAAGGTCTAAAATCCACACAGGCATGTTCGAGCTGTTGCAACTGTTGATGGTACTCTACCTCATCATTGGCTCTTACAAGCTCATACCATAGCTTCTCTATCGACTCCCGTATATCATTCACAACATACTCCTTTCACTTCGCTTTCACATTTTCATTGATGTGAAATCGACAAAGCAAATTAACTATCCTTGGAAATATTGTTTCAATTGCTTTCATCAAAGCAAGATCACTATCTGTTAAAATCACTTGTGATCATAACCCTTGCTTAGTGAACAACTGTTTCAACTTATCTAATACCCCAACAAAAATTCTTGGTTTGCTCATATTACATATAGGAAAATGCAACATCAAATGTTAGCCCAGTTGATGTCATACCAACTACTTCAAACAAAGGTTGCCTGTACTTATTTGTTTTGTACGTAGTGTCCATAATCAACTCATTAGGAAACATATTCAACAACTTTAGTGATTCTAGATGGGCCCAAAAGATATCTCTCACAACTTCTGACTCATCTTTTTTCCTACTCCAATAAACATAATCAGAATCCTCCATCAGCTTAAACAAATGTTGCATTTCTGTTCTAGGACTCCTGATGTCTTTCTGAATCTTACTCTTATGTTTATATATTTGGGTGATTCGAGTCACATTCTCCGGATCTCATTCTTGCAATGACAACAATATGTGTCTTGGTGGAACATGACGTTTTGTCAAATCAACAATATGTTAGTGTTCATCAGCATTAAGTCGACCTACAAACGAATGACCTTCAAATCTATCCGGTAAACCATGGTTGTGAAGTCCACATTTTACGTCAATCTTCCAACCAGAACCATCTTTTGACGGTGTTTACCTAATTTTGAATGGACAACCACATTTCTTGGTAGCACTTTGTGTTTCGATATATCCTTCTTTGTATTTTCCACCTCTATCACAACCAAATATGACTCTGTCACTTCTTCCTCTCTTGTTAGTTTTTGTGTCCGAACGGATTATTATAACAGTAACTTTATTCCTGATTCCAACCTCCCCAATCCACCTAGTTGCCTCTTCTCGTGTATCAAAATTTTCGGAAGTCGAGAATATCTCAGTCGTATCTACACATATATGTTTTTTTATCGCATATCATCAAAGGAATATCAATACTTGTTAAACATAAGTGTGACAAAAATTTATAAAACTAAAAAAAAATGCATTCCGGATCTCTTATTATTAAGAAATTAGGTGACTAAAAAACACAAATCGACACTCTTCTTTGCAAGTTATTTGGTGCTTAAAAAACACAAACTAGAAAACTCATGTTGAAGTTATCCGGTTAAATAATATGAACCGAATAACTAATCAACGAGTTATCCAGTATGATAAATTTAACAACCATATTTCATCCCTTTTAAGTTTTTCAATTTGATAAAATAACTAATCAGATTTCTTTACATTAGTTATTTGATTTGTGTCGTATAATCTCCAACAATAACTTTTAACTTATTTGATTGCATAGGAAAACGTAAAAAAAAATTAACAAGGATAAATTTGAAATATTTACAAAATTGTTAGAGTACAGGAATAAGTGTAATGATAAGGGATACAATTTTCTTTCAGGACTAGGAGCTTAGTAGGTTTTTAACTTAAAAAAACATGGTAAGATGTGAAGAAAATGTATTTATATTTCAATTTTAATATTATGGTACAAATTATTAAATTTGAAAGAAAAATTTGTTAATAAATACTTTCTCCGTTTTTTATTATAAGTAGTTTTTGACTTTTCATACATATTAAAAAATATAATAATTATGGTATGGAAAAGAGAAATTATAAATGATTTTACAAAATTGTCCTTCATAAATAATATTGGAAAAACAAATTTACATGAAAGGAGAGAGAATAAAAAATATTTAAAGATATAATAAAAAAAATAACATTAATGGTTCATTGATATTACACAACGACTTATATTATGGCACAATTTTTTTTTTCATAATAAAAAAACGGAAATAGTATTAGTTATTACTCCCTTCCTTTCAAAATTAAAATATAATTTTAACAAATAAAAATTATTTTAAAATAAATGTTACTCTCACTTTTTAATATATAAATAATTATATCATTTAGTTTTTTATTCAATACATTACTTTTAACAAACGAATATGCTTAATTTAATAAAAAAATAAAATGCTTTATTTTAAAAATGATGAAGTATTATTTTTAGTTTAATAGTAAGTTTTCTTTATTAGTAAAAATAAAACTATAAGAAAGTATACTAATCGATTATTATACTTTATATTTCTTATCCATTAGTAATCCAACAAAAAGAAGAAAAAAAAAAGACATTTGAGTTGACTTAATTGTGACATAGGTTAGTCATTAGTGTTGGTTCCTTAGTTGCTTCATCTTCACACTTTCTTTCCATGTCACACTTTCTTCATATTTCAACTGCCAACTCAACTACTCTGCTTTTTCATTTTCATTTTCATTTTCCACCATCTTTTATTTTTCCTCAAATCTGAGTTTCGCGAGCTTGAATTGAATTTGATTTTGAGTCACGGATATGTTACATATGGCTTTTTCATGGTTTCTTAAACTTTCTTTCAAATTCATTCATCATTTCGCATGGTATGCTTATTATTCTTCCTTTATCTTTCTCGTTTTTCTCATGAATCTTCACATTATTAGCTCCAATTTATGCTAATCAACACTACCATTCTTTTATGTCCCTCTATTTTCTAGGCCTCTTGTTGCTCTGGTGTATCCTCTGTAAGTTATTATTCTAGGTTTTTGTTCTACCCAAAAAGTTTTTACCTTTTACATTATTATTGTTTCACATCATTTTGATTTTTTGTGATTATGATTCTTGGACAGGTGTGCTTCCATACAAGCAATCGAGACTGATTCTTATGCAGAAACTAAGAATTTGATCTCATATTGGATACTTCTTTCATTCATTTACCTCTTTGAGTATGCTTTTATCAACCTTCTCCCATGGTAAATTCTTTACTCAATGTAAATAACTGTTGCAAATGATTCCCTTTTGATATTTTTAAACAAATTCATGGAGTTTTTAACTACTTCATTCCTATGTTTCATATCAGGTTGCGGGTCTGGCTGTACATTAAGCTAATGATCATCTTCTTCCTTGCCATACCGGACTTTGGACGAGCTTCTTATGTTTATCATAACCTTATTCGCCCCATGAAATTGCAAATATTTGCATGGAGGTTCAATAACTATTGGAGGAAGATTTTTGTTGAGAAAGATGACTTTTTAATACATGCAGAGAGATATTTGAGAGAAAATGGAACTGAAGCCTTAGAGAAACTCGTTGCTAGCAAGGTAAATAACTATGTCACAATATGGTGTGTAAAAACATTAGGGAAGCATGTATGTGTATGTGATATGTCTCTATATCGGCGTAGAATTGGAAATTTTAGCTAATTCTTCTTTTTTTCATATTTGTAGAACACAGTGTGTAGGCCTGATGCAGAAGTGATAAATCAAATCATATCTACTGATAATAAAGAAATGCTAAAGGTAGAGTTTTGATGTTAAGTCAATTGTGACATTATTATAGTTCTTTTGATATATTGTTGTATACGTCAATTCTACCTGTCTTGTGAGAACGGTGACATTTAGAATACTTAATGAGGTAGCTTGACTTTGTGCAGACAAATGAAGAAAGACTCCAAACTAAGCACCTAGACGTCAAAGATTTGGAGGCTATTGAAAAAAGAGAAACTCCTGCTGCTACCAAGCAAGTAAGACTTCATTCATACTCACTCCTAATTTTCCCGAAAGCACAATTATTTTTTGACTCGAAGCTTTCTAAGATGTCATTTGTGAAAGGTTTAGTCTAACAATTGCATATAAATGTGTGGGTGTGATCATGATTTTTGTTGGATTGTTGATGTTACGGCATTTGACTAATTGTACTTTTATTTGAGGTGTTGCTACTTTTTCGTCTGCAACTAAAATATAGTCACATTCTTCTATTTAAATGACTGCCATAGTGGTTGTATATAATTCACATGACAGTCTTTGAACTGTGTGAACTAGATGTATCATCTTTTGTTTTTTCTTGTGCTTTTCAAGATTTTCATTAATTCTACAATGCTTGTAACTGTCTCTATGTTAACATTTGGATGTTGCAGGATATTCCTGTCATACCTAAAGTTGGGCCAAGTCAAAGTGCATCATCAGCCACAGTGGTAACCAAAGGAACAGCGGAGAATGGCAGAGCTGGTGGAGAGGTTCCTCAGAGTTCTACTTCTACACAGAAGGAAATGCAGAAAGAGTGGACATGTGCTTTATGTTTGGTAACAACATCGAGCGAGATGACCTTGAACTCCCACCTCAGTGGAAGGAGACACAGGGCCAGAATGGAAGCTTTAATAGCAAAGAAACAATCTGCTCTTCAGAAAAAAAAGGATGCAGAAGTGACAAATGAAATCTTAGCTACGGATGATAAAGAAACGCTGAAGGTAAAATTTTGATATTTAAGTGTTGTGAAATTAATATAATTCTTGTTACTAGTTCTTGTATGAGTCAATCTACATGTCTCAGTCGCATGGTGACATTTAGAGTACTTAATGAAGGAGTTTCTTGTGCAGACAAATGGAGATCAAAGACTCCAAACGGAACACAAAGACATCAAAGGGAAAAAAGAAATTCTTGCGACCAAGCAAGTAAGGATTCATTCATAGGCTAGTTCTATTGTGCACAACGAAAGTAGGTGTTGTACCATGCACAAGTTTGTTTCTATAGTTAGATCAATAAGTTTCACCACTGGATCAAATGATATATGGTGAAACTTAATGATTTAGACTTGAGGCATGCTAAGAGGTCATTTGTGAAATATTTAGGCTTACAAGTTACAAGTATATTTTTGTTATATATAAATTGTATGGATGTGGTTATGATTTTTGTGGCCATTGTTGTTGCTGCTAGAGAACCTATGCTAATACTGTGGCAAGTCAAAAGGCATCATCATCAGACATAGTAGAAACCAGAGCAACAGCAGAGAGTGACAGAGCTGGTGGAGAGATTCCTCAAAGTTCTTCTAGACTGAAAGAAGTGCAGAAAGAGTGGACTTGTGCCTTATGTTTGGTAACAACATCGAGCGAGGCAACCTTGTTTTCGCACCTCAATGGAAAGAAACATATGGCTAGTTGTGAAGCAGCTTTGAAAGCAAAGAAGCAAACTGCTCTGCAGAAGTTGAAAATCAATCAGCCCAAAGAGGATGTGAAACAGAAGAATGTTAGCAATAAGTTAGATTCCAAGGTCAAGAATGGAGATGGTATTGTTAACAAAGAAGAGGAGGTGAAACAGAAGAATGGTAACAATATGTTAAATTCCAAGGTCAAGAATGGAGATGGTATTGTTAACAAAGTGCTGAAGGCGGTGTTGGATAGTAAGGTGGAAAAACTGCAAAAGAACATGTCTGAGCCTGTTAGCATACAAAATTCCAAATTAATGTGTAGAGCCTGTAATGTTGTCCTGCATTGTGAGAACAATGTTGTCTCTCACTTAAATGGGAAGAAACATTTGGCTAACATGCAAAGCAAAGTTGATAGTTTAAAGAACCTTAGGGACATTGGCATTGCTTGAAATGAAGCTGAAAAAGGGAATTGGGGTAAGAAGCCTCCTTGACATTGTTGCAGAGGATTAAATGGAAATACTTGTTCATTTCTTGAGATATTAGTAAAATTAATTTTCATGAAACTGACATAAATTTTTATTTTATTTTCTAAGAAAAATATTAGAAGTTGAGTTCTGGTTGATAATAGTAATATTTAAAAGTGAGCTTAGAAAATGTTATCTTTTGATAGTTGTTTTTCTTTTCTGTTGGGTTCATGTTGAGAATTCATTCTCATTACGCCTGACAAATCATTTCTTTTTTTCGCATTCTGTGTAAGTTAGGAATAAATGGGAAAGTTAACAACCCATTCTAAGAATCCTATTAGAAAGGGTTTTAATGTATTTTCAACCCTTAGGTTTTCGAGTATATATATTTTTTGATCATATTTCAAGGTAAACCTGAAGCAATTTATAGGACAGCTTTGTGTGGGTGGATATAATATTAATGGATTCTGTTCCTAAAACATAAGCCATCATTTTAGAAAACAATATGCACAACACGAGAAGGATTCGGGGATAAAAAGCAGGAGAAAAAAGAAAAGAAAATACACAAGAGTGCAAAGCTATGGCATTTTATTGAAGAGTGCAAAGATTCCAAAACAGAATAGAAAATTATACACATGACTCTCTAACAATCAAGATTTTTGAGAGGTTGGCATTGCCAAGCTAATCTTGCTACTGCCTGCTGAATCCTTCCACTGCTGAGTTATTGTTTTGATCTGTGTAAAAAAGTTCACCCCTGCCTTGCCTGCAATTCAACAAAGCATAATATCAAGTTCAAATCAAACACTATGCCTATATCATAAGAAAAATGTAACTCTTGAACAATCTAAGTGAAATGATTGCATAAGAGCTAGATTTCGTATAAATCACTCTACCATAGAAATTGAGATCGCCGGCAAATGAAGCCTTGTTGCCAGTAAATGAGAAAAATGGCAAAGGAACTGGAATAGGAACGTTGACACCAACCTGGTCCAAGATTCATGTTAAAATGCAATGTGATTGGTTAACAAATAACACCTCTCAATGCACATACTGGTTGAAATTTACAAGCATTATTATTTGGTGTAGTGCTTCCAAGAAGTAATAAATTTTACCTGCCCGGCCTCAATCTCGGTCTGAAATTTCCTTGCAGCAACACCAGAAGTAGTAAATATAGATGCACCATTTCCATACCTTTTAGAAACATTAGAGTAATAAGAAGTAAATATACAGAAGTTTAACAAAAGGCAATGACGATAGTCACATGTTGAATAAGTACTTGTTTTTGTTGATAATGTTTATGGCCTCTTCCAAGCTATCAGCCTGAAGATTAAACAAAACAGTAAAACAATGTGATCAGGAAATATTTTACCAAGATTTGTATATATTCGTTATTTCCGTATTAAACAATAAGATTCTAAGGAAGAAATAAAGAGACATACCTCCATAAAAAGAAGAACCGGGCCAAAAATTTCCTCCTGCGTGTGACATGTTAAACAGTTAAGTTTAATATACATCTAAACATCAACTCTCTATTCTGAAGGAATTAGTTTAGTAGAAATGAGATCAAAGATTGAAAGAAAATACCTTGTAGCACTCCATGTTGGTAGTGATATTTGATAAGATGGTTGGGCCAACAAAATTGCCAGATTCATATCCTGGGACCTATTTGTCATGCACGTATGAATTGATAAACAATCCTTAAAATTTATGTTTAGTTACCTCTTATCATGTTTTTCTTTTTTCTTTGAAAAAAAATATAATAAGACAGTTGAAAATGGAAGTTAAGGGTATGAAAGTTACCACTATATTTCTTCCATCAAGCAGCAGTTTGGCACCACTCTCGACTCCAGATTGAACTAATGAGTGCACTCGCTCCTTTGCCTGTAAAGCCAGTTAGAATGTTTTGGAAACAAATAGCTAAAATATACACAACCATTGGTGTGAAAATGAGATTGAATTGAATAGCCACAGCAGTAATTCTTGAACGACACATTGGAGATTTATTCAAATTTTTTAGTTAAAATGCACCTTGGAAAAAAGTAAATTAGGAATCTTAAGCTAACCTGTTTGCTGATAACCGGACCAAGATCTGTATCAGGTTCAGTTCCAGCATTTACTTTAAGAGCTTTCGCATGCTCTATGATTTTTGATTCCCTGCATAAATAATGTGGTGGATGCATTTATTTAAATAAATTAAGTTCATAATCAAAATCAAATTTCCAAGGTGAAAAGATAATAAAGTTGAACATGGTTTTTTCTAGACAATCTTTTTAGTTTTTCTTTATGAAGTTGGAATTACGATAAAATATTCAGCATTAGTGATTATACAATAAATGCAAAAACTCTCCACATTAAAAAAATACAAACACAAAATTCGCGATAAACACAAATGAGTCAAAAGCAGAATGGAGTATGATACCAGTGTTGGGAGCCTCCGACAAAAACAACTGTACTGAGAGCCATGCACCTCTGTCCAGCAGCTCCAAAACCAGCAGCAACTAAAGCATTTACAGTGGCATCGACATTTGCATCTGGCATGACAATTGCATGATTTTTGGCCCCCATATTAGACTGCAAACCATACTTCATATTATCACATGAACATTAATCAATATTTCACAACGAGAAGGAGAAACAAATTGCACCTACCTGAACACGTTTTCCTTTAGCTGCTGCTCTTGAATATATGTGCATTCCAGCCTTTAATACAAATAAGAACGTCAAACAGGTGTTTGCAGAAAAAAGAATTTAGTTTGCAAATTTTTAGCATTTGAATCATTTGCCCTCTTTTATTTATCTTTCTATCTATGCACAACCGAACGAAAAAAAAAATATCACTCAATTTTCTGACAACAGGTCACAAAAAGAGGAAACGATAAAATCAATGAAGTGAAAAGTGAAACAATGATTAGAACACTTACAACATTAGAACCAACAAATGATATGGCTTTAATATCCTCATCATCACAAATGGCGTTCACAACATCCTGTCACCAATTGTATAATTAAGAAGATCAATCCGTAAGAAAAATAAATCACAATTATTTCATTCTAAACATATCATAAGTAATAAGCCGTCGGCCATGGAACAACTGTTTTATGAATGAAATCAATTTTATAATAGTATCAAGTATTCTCTGTATAGTACAACATTTTATGCAATTTTCAGATTTAACTTGAAATACGATGAGCTCATCAAATGCAAAACGAGCACATTTGATAAGTGAGTATCAAAAGAAATGTGCGAGCAACAAAAGTTTAGTTAAAAAGGTGTGATGGCATACATGAGTTCCATGAACAACATTTAAGACACCCTCGGGCAAACCGGCCTCCAATGCCAATTCTGCAAGCATCATAGAAGCACCTGAAAAAACAACAAAATTCAAATTACAACCATATCTCGTCCTTTAAGTGTTTTGCAGTAAAGATATAACACCCAATTACAGTGAAATTTAGAAGTTGGAAATGGCTACAAAAAACAAAAATCACGAAGAGAAAAAATGAAAGTCAATAATACTATTTCTTGGAATTTGCAACTCAGTGTCCTGCATGTAATTTTCAAAATCTGCAATTTTGTGAGCCTCTAAATAGCAAACAGATGGTTAGGTTAGTGAGTGAAAAATCCATAACATTCTCTTTAGAAGAGATCATATTAGAGGCAATTGTTTAATTAAATTTCCAACTCATGGTGTTCACAGTACAGTTTGAATTAACTTAGGCCTGCTCCTAATGACAAACAATGATAGTCAGTTTTTCGATTATAGTATTACAATATGCTCCAAATTGAGATGATTCTAGGATATTGATAGAATGTGAACATCACCTGGGTCTTTCTCTGATGGTTTTAGAACAAAGGTATTGCCACATGTAACAGCCACGGGAAACATCTGCAAATAACGTACATTCAGAACTTTTTATAATGTTCAATGCAATAGTATGTACACCACATTCCGGTGAGAATTAACCATCATACAGAGATAGGTAATACAAAGTTCTTCTCGATAACTGTTTCTAGATAATTCTATAAAATATAAAGTAGACTTTTTTTGATTCATACTTGATGGATGATATGGATGTGATGAAAGCAGATAAGAAATAAAGGTGAACCAAATTACTGAAAGGCAATATATGAATTCAATAGCCAAAAGATAGAAAACTTCTTACCCACAAGGGAATCATTGCAGGAAAGTTGAACGGACAAATACCAGCACAAACACCAATTGGTTCTCTAACGCTGTATGTGTCGACCCCGTGTGATACATTTGAAACATACTCTCCCATTTGAAGAGTTCCCATCCCACAGGCATGTTCAACAACCTCTAAATGATACAAATTAAAAGTACTCAATAATCACATTGCCAGTAATTATGATGTCGTTACAAAATGTTAACAAGCAACTTATGATAAAGACCAACCTAAGCCACGAAATACATCTCCTTGTGCATCCTTCAGTGTCTTTCCTTGTTCAGTGGTCACATTAAGAGCAAGTTTATCCTAAAACAAATACAAAGTTGAAAGATAATAAAAAGTTTCTAACAGTACTCATGAGAGAAGGGGTGTCTATATTTGCAAAAGAATGCACCACGTCTTCTAGAATGTTGCAAGATGCTCACCATATCTCTGCGTATGAGCTCCTGGAGCTTCAACATAACACGTTGGCGCGTCGTAACCGGAGTGTTACGCCATGCTGGAAATGCCTTCTTTGCTGCAGATACAGCAGCTTTAAACTCTTCATCTGTAGTCAACGGAACTTGTGAAACAACTTCTTGTGTTGCCTATGATCAGATTAGAGAAACATTAGAAGTATGAATTTCTCAAAACTACAAACAAACACAACTGTATAAGGAAAAAAAAACACCTACCGGGTTTATAACATCGATGAAATTTGATGATTTTGAGTCAAGAAGCCTTCCCCCGATAAGATTTGGAACCCTCTGATAGAACACAATCAAAACAAGGTTAACAAAAGCACTTTGAAGAAGAAG